GCAGGCTGGTGATGGTGGGTTGGTGGGAAGATGTGGCAGGCTGGTGACAGTGGGTTGATGGGAAGATGTGGCAGGCTGGTGACGGTGGGTTGGTGGGAAGGTGTGGCAGGCTGGTGACAGAGGGTTGATGGGAAGATGTGGCAGGCTGCCATATGTAAACTGCTGGTTCAGGGCCAACTCCTGCAGACAGGCTTCGGCTTGTGCTGTAACTCCTCCCTCCACCAGTTGTATTTTAAATGCAGCCAAGCTGGAGGAATGGAAGCTGTTATTGCTGTGCTTGGGGAACTGTAAACCACAAGGTTGGGGCTAGGTGCAGTGAGAGAGGTACCCAGGCTCCATCTCAGGTACTTAGACTCAGGCCCGGGCAAGTGCACAATGTGCACCTGACAATGACAGCATTTGCAGTCGAGATGCCACCTTCCTCACCGCAAGCACACCCTAGCCCTGGTCCTGTGGTCTAACATGCCTTACCTTGGTAGCTGTTTTTGTCACCTGTCTTCACCACACCTGGCTTATACATACTCTGAATAATTCCTAGCATGGATCCCGCATTTCTTATTCCAGTGTGATCTCAGTGCCCATCCTCTTCCTCAACCCCTTGGGGACTAGCAGGCTCAGGATATGCGCTTGACTCTGGAAGGTTTCTCCACAGCCCAGTGAGCACACAGACTCTCAGATAAAAATGTGCTTAGGAGACAATAAGTAGTTGTTCTGAGACTGAAAGCGGAGACCCTAGTGACAAGGCGTGGGGGAGCTTTCCTTAGGTGCTTTCATAAGACTATGAATTCAGGTGGGGAATGGTGACAGTGTTATTTGTGAAGACAGGCATTGCGGTAACCCTCCTAAAGAATTTGGGTTTTTTTCCCCCTCTTCGCTCAAACTTAATTGGTAATATTATAACTTTCAATTTAATCATTGACTTAAATGAGTTGTATATTTATCTCTGCAGGAGCCCGGCTGGGCTGCACGAAACATTGGTGGCAGCTGAGTGAGAGAGAAACTTACTAGAGTATTTGGGCTGGCAAGTGACACCCCTTCTGCTCCGAGATAAGATGGAGACTTTTTCAAGCTACATTTTAAAATCGTAAAACCCAGGACCTCCTGCTGGAGATGAGCGATAGGTGGGTCTGGAGCATCTGGGAGCTGTGAGAATTGCTGAGATGATTGCTGAAACCGAGATTATAAGTCATTAAGGGTTTGAAAGTTTTCTGCAGGTACACAATAGACTACTCAGTATCTTGGATTCTTGAGCTGGGGTCAGGTTAACTATTAAAAGAGGACAAAAGTCTTGCTAACAAAACCTGAAGTTTTAGAGCATACTCTGTTCCCGCTGCCTTGGCCATTCTTGCTTTAAGCCTTAGCCCTCTTTTCCTGGCTTTCAGAAGGTCCACTGTTGATTTAATTCCATGTGTAGATTAATGGCAGTTTCCTTCCTTGCAATATTAAATTAGCTGGCTCGTCTTCCACCATGAGAGTGGGTATTCCTCACTGCAGTATCCTCTGTAATAAAAAAAGACACAGCCATAGGGTATGTGGGGACTGACAACTGATGTATTTCTTCTCCAACTGGTGACTCCTTTTGCTAGAACTAAGCACCAGTCTTGCATGGGAGACTCTTGCTCCCTTTCTTTCTCAGACAGAACAGATTGCATTTTTCATTGCCATAACCTTTATGTGCCTAAAATCTTCTTTTATAGGCAACTCCTTTCAGTATCTTTGATCTAAAGGATGCAATCACATTTTCCTTGAAGATATGAATCATCTAGAAAAACACAGAGGAAGAGAAAACACTGTTAAATAACTCCTCGAAACAAATTTAAAACCTACATAATAATTGTTTTGGATTATTCCATAATTCTCCCTCTCCTATTTTCCACTCTCATCTGGTCTTTGAATGGGAGGATTTGGAGCCATAAAGGGTCTGAGCATTATCTAGGCTGTCCACTCTGAGTCTCAGATGAGACACTTCCTTCACAAAGGGAAACTTTTCTTACAGTTAAATTGGTATAGAGTAACTTTTTCAGGATTAGAGGATTTAAGTTTGTTGTTTGTTTTTTAAACCAGAAGAGGCTGGGTGCAGTGGCTCACACCTGTAATATCAGCACTTTAGGAGGCAGAGGTGGGCGGATCCTTGAGGTCAGGAGTTTGAGACCAGCCTGACCAAGATGGTGAAACCCCATCTCTACTCTAAATGCAAAAATTAGCCCAGCGTGGTGGTGCACACCTGTAGTCCAAACTACTAGGGAGACTGAGGCAGGAGAATTGCTTGAACCTGGAAGGTGGAGGTTGCAGTGAGCCAAAATCTTGCCTCTGCACTCCAGCCTGGGCGACAGAGCGAGACTCCATCTCAGAAACAAAAACAAAAACAAAAACAGAATAAATCCTAGCAATCTTTTAATCAAATGTCCACCATGGTAGTCCGGATTCCTTGTGTTGCAGGTGTCAGCAACTCTGCCCAAGAACAAGAGGGACCTATGGAGGGGATGGAGGGGGGCCCCGGGACTGAAGGGCGGGCTCCTGGGACAAGCAGCTCCAGGATCGTGGGAGCCAGTACTGGAGCAGAGGCTCTGCTGACAGAAGTTGCCTATGGCCCCTCTTGGCAACTGTGGAAGCTTACTCACCTGAGATCGCCAGGGCTGCTGATACCTTTAGGGTTGCAACTTTGCAGCTAAAAAAATAAAATGAAATGAAATAAAATGAAATAAAATAAAATACATTTCTGGGGAAAGGATGCTCACCTTGGGTCATGGGCTCAACCCAGCATAGGGACGCTAGTAGAGGAACTAGGGGTGTGCTGCAAAACACCAGCCAGGGCATTCCCTTCTTCCAGATGAGAAACTGGTGTCCTAACTCATCCAAGTGACTGTCCCTCAGGGGAGCGGTAGAGTCATCTTCACACCTCCTGATGCCCCAGGTGAGGCCATTTGCCCCACCAGGCAGGGTGCTTCATCCTCTACATGCCAAAAGCCTCCCCGTCACTCTTTCTCTTAGAAGGAATGAGCTCAGAGTGAAACAGTGAAGCCATGACCCAGCTGGAACCTCAATTAACCAGAAATCTGTTTTTCATTCAACTTTGGAGGAAAATAGAAGAAAGTCTCTGGTTTATTCCATGATCTTACTTTTGGGGTGTATTTCAGGGGGCATATATATATGGCTTAATCTCCTGCTGTTTTCAAATATCTTTTTTATGCTTTTAAAAATTGTGATAAAATATATACAATGTATAGAAACTCTATACCCACTGAATAATAACTTCCCATTCCCTCTCCCCCAGCCCCTAGCAACCACTAATCTTTCTGTCTGTATGAATTTGCTTATTCCAGGTAGCTTCTATAAGTGGAATCGTACAATGTTTTTTATTTTGTGTCTGGCTTATTTCACTTAGTATAGTATTTTCCAGGTTCATCGATGTTGTGGCAGGCATCAGAATTTAATTATTTTTTATGGGTGAATAATGTTCCATTGTGTGGATATGCTATATTTTGTTTATCCATTTATGTGTTGATATGCACTTGAGTTATTTTCACATTTTGGCTATTATGAATAATGCAGCTATGAACATTGATGTGTACCAAGTGCCTTTTGTCACTGCTAAGTATTCATCTTCATAAAAATGATACTAAGGTATCCCCACTGACCATACAAAAAAAAAAATTAAGTTTCCCATCAAATGGAGGCTTTGTGGGATCATGGAGATAGCATGGGCTCCAGAATCCTACAGACCATTCATTAATGCTGGGTGTATCATTTCCTAGTTTGTGACATTGGGCAAATTATCTCACCTCTCTGGGCTTTCATTTCTTCATCTAACAAATGGCTGACAGAAAAGGCTAAAGTTGACATTTCTGAGCTGCTTTGAAAATTTGCTGCTTCCCAGCTGGGCATAGTGGCTTATGTCTGTAATCCTAGCATTTTAGGAGGCCCAGGCAAGTAGCTCACATGAGGTCAGGAGTTCAAGACCAGCCCGGCCAATATGGTGAAACCCCATCTCTACTAAAAATACAAAAATAGTTGGGCGTGGTGGTACAAGCCTGTAATCCCAGCTACTTAGGAGGCTGAGGCAGGAGAATGGCTTGAACTCAGGAGGTGGAGATTGCAGTGAGCCCAGATCATGCCACTGAACTCCAGCGTGGACAATAGAGCGAGACTCTGTTTCAAAAAAAAAAAACAACTTTTTTTTTTGGTGCTTCCCAAATTCACTTAGTAATCAAAAGCACTTTGTGAGGCTTTAGAAGAACAGGTACCCGAGCCCCGCTCCACAATTCCTGACTTAGAATACGTAGGAGTGAAGCCTGGAAATCTGCATCCTTACCAAAATCTTCAGGAGATGCGGACGAGGCCAGTTTAAAACTCATCACTGAAATGAAGCTTAGGAAGCCAAGTGCACACTCAGAAGCTGCCTCACAGATGGAGCTTGATAAATGCTGGTTCTTCCCTCTTGCCTTTCTTTATACTTTACATATGAAGAAAGAGCAGAGGACAGTTGCATTTTGAGGAGCACTTGCAGCAATGACTATGTCGTGTCACAACAACAAAAATTCTAATAATGGATTGCTTTCCACTCTGAGCAACTCATCATTGGTAAATAGCGTTGGCAGTTAAGGTTACAAAACCAGTCACTTCATTCATTTGCAGTTTTGATTATGCATTTGGGCATGACTGCACTGTGCGCAATATACATCTGCCAATGGGGATGGTGGGGTGAATGGAGGCTGGCAGAAGGCACTCTGCTATGTTATGTAGAAGAGAGAACTCCTTGGAGATCACTGTGCAAATGTGAGACTTCAACGCAGAGAAGGAACCAGTGAATTTCTATCAAACAAGCCAGGTTGATATTCTTTTCTTCTTTTTCTGGGGTCCTTTCAAATTATAAAAGGAGTGGACAAAGGGAATGTTGTAGATGTAATTTGTTCCAGGCTCGAATAAAGCGTGTTTGTGTCTTATGAAATTTTATGAGAAAAATGTAATTCAAATTGGCCTGGAGATGAGAGCTGTCAAGTAGATTGAAAGCTGGATTATAAACCAAGACTAATGAGAGCCTGCTCTGAACACAGACTTAGGGATGAAGTCCAAGAGAATCTCTGCAAGGTCTTACAGGGGAGGTAAACAGCCCATTAATTAAGGTAGCAGATGGCAGTAAATTGGGAGATGTTTCAGATTCCAAGGACAGAAAAAGAAATGAAAGCATGGGATCTGTATTGGGTAGTTAGAAACCCCAGCACGAAGTCAATGACAGGAAAGTAATAAGAGCTGCAGGTAGTCTTGGAAGCGAGCAGTATTTGGAATACCAAGGGCTTAGAAAAAGACTAGAAATGTTAGTGGAATGGCTGAGAAACTACTGGAGAAAGTGGCTCACTTTGCTGCAAGGCAAAGTTTTAGGGACCCAGAGGGCCGGCTTGGGCATGCAAACTCAAGCTGAAAGAAACAATTTTTGGGTGGGTATAGTCTTAAGATCCCTTCCAGTGTGTATTTGCAGATGAAGAAGCTGCCTGAGTAGAAGGGACTCAACTGGATGTAAACTGAAGAAATAAATTAGCACAGGAGGAAAAAAGCAGGTGAGCTGAGATCATCAGTATGATTTGGCTACAGGTGGAAGGCAGAGTGATGAGGTGGATAGAACGTGGGCTTTGGATCTCAGAGTTTTGGCCATCACTGCATCTTCCAGTTGACTAGGGGGGTTGACTTACTGAGCCTCAGTTTCCCCACCTCCTATAAAATAAGGACAAGATTTCTTACCTTTTATAAATATTATAAATTTGGATGAGATCTGTGTAGATTACCGAGACATGGTAAGTTTTGAACACATGCAGACTTGTCCTTTGTACCTGTGTAACGAACGTTATCAGCACATACTTGTGGGAGGGGAAATTATGGGATATTTGTGGGAGGGGAAGGTGTGGGACACTTGTGGGAACTTTGGGCAGCACCTATACAAGTGTCCCCATTTCTTTCTTTCTCTCTTTCTTTCTCTCTCTCTCTTTTCTTTCTTTCCTTTCGTTCTTTCTTTCTTTCCTTGCTTGCTTGCTTGCTTGAGTTTAGCTCTTGTTACCCAGGCTGGAGTGCAGTTGTGAGATCTCAGCTCACTGCAACCTCCAGCTCCTGGGTTCAAGCGATTGTCCTGTCTCGACCTCCCGAGTAGCTGAGATTATGGGAGTCTGCCACTATGCCCGGCTAATTTTTTGTATTTTTAGGAGAGATGGGGTTTCACCATGTTGACCAGGCTGGTCTTGAACTCCTGACCTCAGGTGATCTACTTGCCTTGGCCTCCCAAAGTGCTGGGATTCCAGGCATGAGCCACCGTGCCTGGCCAACTGTCCCCATGTCTTGGTTCTCATTTCCTGCACAAAGAAGTCAGCTGTACCCTGTTGTTATTGCAGTGGGGTTACATTCAACTCAGGGGTTGGAGTGTAAAGCCATCACATGAAGTGAGAATCACATATGGTCAAAATTATCCTTAAAAATCCCTAAAATCACCCAGAAAATACAGTACTGTGCAGTCTCTCAAAAAGTTTTTTTCAGCCAGCTTTTCCTCCAGTGTTGGAACTGATCATGGTTTCATGGTTTTTTGTTTTGTTTTTTTTCTTTTAAGTGGAGCACTAGGTGAAGTAATTGGCTACATTTATGGGTCATGCTATATGAAAGTGCTCATTATTATTATTATTATTATTATTATTATTATTATTATTTTTGAGACGGAGTTTCGCTCTTGTTACCCAGGCTGGAGTGCAATGGCATGATCTCGGCTCACCGCAACCTCCGCCTCCTGGGTTCAGGCAATTCTCCTGCCTCAGCCTCCTGAGTAGCTGGGATTACAGGCACGTGCCACCATGCCCAGCTAATTTTTTGTATTTTTAGTAGAGACGGGGTTTCACCATGTTGACCAGGATGGTCTCGATCTCTTGACCTCGTGATCCACCCGCCTCGGCCTCCCAAAGTGCTGGGATTACAGGCTTGAGCCACCGCGCCCGGCCCCTATTATTATTATTTTTGAGACGGAGTCTTGCTCTGTCGCCTAGGCTGATGTGCAGTCGTGCAATCCCCACTCACTGTAACCTCTGCCTCCTGGGTTTAAGTGATTCTCATGCCTCAGCCTCCTGAGTAGCTGGGATTGCAGGCATGGGTCATCGTGCCTGACTAAGTTTTGTATTTTTAGTAGAGATAGGGTTTTGCTATGTTAGCAGGCTGGTCTTGAGCTCCTGGCCTCAAGTGATCTGCCGTGCCCACCCTCCCAAAGTGCTGGGATCACAGGCATGAGTCACTGCACCTGGCCTGAAAATGCTTATCTTTTAACACTGAAATGGCAATTGGTGTGGTGAGATGCTTACACATAGGGTCACCCAGTTGAAGGTGACTCCATGACTGTGGTGGGCAGATAGAGCTATGGATCTTTTTGTTCTCTCTCTCTCTCCTTAGTCAGTTTGGGCTGCTATAAAAAGATACCATAGATTGTCTTAAACAAGAGAAATGTATTTTTCACTGGAGTCTAGAAGTCCATGATCAGGGTGCTGGCAGATCTGGCGTCTGTTGAGGGCTCTCTTCCTGGTTTGCAGACAGCTGCCTTCTGATTGTGTCCTCCCACAAGACAGAACAGACTCTAGTCTCTGCCTTATCCCATCATGGGGACTCCACCCTCATGACCTTATCTCAACCTAATTACCTCCCAAAGGCCCCACCTCCTAATATCACTAGGGGTTAGGGTTTCCATATGTGAACTTTAGGGGATACTAACATGCAATCCATAACAGAACTGGATTTGCAGCTCCCTTGAACTGAAGCAACTTCAATGGATCAGGCTGGCTGCCTGGTGGCCTGTGGGCCCAGCTTTAGTTGTGGGGAAAATGGACATAATAGGGCTCCATACTGATCAGCTTCCCTGGGCCCACTGCTCAGCT